TACAGTCGGCCCTCCATATCCATTGATTTATTCTCTCCACAGATTCAAGCATCCACACATTAAATATTCCAATATATATATAAATATTCCAATATATACGGTATATAAAATTTGGAACAGGAAGTTGCACCATATATATATATATATATATATATATATATATATATATATATAAAATTCCCAAAAGCAAATCTTGTTTTTGCCATTTTGTATAAGAGATACAATTTTACTATGCCACTGTATTTAATGGGACCTGAGCATCTATGGATTTTGGTCCTGGAAATAAAACCTAGTGGATACCAAAGGTCCCATTGTATCTGCATTGTGATATCATTGGTTTGTATAAATTATAAAATGGTTGCTTGATTTACTATGTGAATATGAGGTTAGTAGTGGAGTGTCGAAGTGGATGCTGACTGGTGGAACGTTTGAGGAGATTCGCATGTAGTAGTTAGCAATAAAGTTTTGCTTTTGGATTTGAAGGTTTTAAGGGTTTGGATATAGTTTTATTTTTATGATTTTAATGTTTTAGGATTTTTAACTGTTTCAATATGTACAGTTTTTAAGCACTTTTATCTTTTAAATTGCATTTTATTCCTTTAATGAGTGATGTGTTTTAATACCATACTACTACTTTAATTCTGTTTTAATGCTCACTTTTATATGATTTTAACTGTATTGTTGTTGTTTTTTATTTGTGAGCTGCTTTATATCCCAATTTTTTGGGGAAAGCGGGATCTAAATAAATATAGAAGAATCAGAATCGTAGTAGTAGTAGTAATTATTAATAATAATAATTTGTTTTTATACATTTTTGGCCTCTGGAATTGCTATCATTCTGAGAGCTTTGTTTCAGACAAGATGTCTGTGGTGACAGCACTGGAGGTGGAAAGATGATGTCCTGTTGGGCATAAAAGCAGTATAAATCCGCATAGGAACCTTGAGGGCATTTAGACTGACCCAGTTGATGTGACACAAGGGGGACAAGGAAGAAGTCCTTTTTCATAGCAGAGGTGGTGATCAGGTTTGCAAAGAACACTGTAAATACCTCACACTGGTGGGTTGAGAGCCCCACATTTAGCCACTATGGTGGAGTTGGTGGCATTGGTATGACTGCCTGAGTGGAAAACCCCACAATTGGTAGGCAGCGGTGGGATCACCAAAAGTGGGAGATCCCCACATTTTGGTGTATACAGTGGTGCAATAAAGGATGTCCCAGCAGTGGGGTAGAGGGTTGAAAACCATACATGCATTTCTTAAATTTGGCTGGTTCAGCTAGCTGGAAACTGGTCATTTTGGGCTATTTTCCAGAATGTGATATTGATGGTGGCATGTGGTCTTGTTGAATTTTTTTGTGACTCAGTGTATTTATTTATTTCAGTATTTCTCACCAATCATCTATCAATAAGTCTCAGGAAGTGACACAATCAATAAAACAATTCAACATAAAACCCATAATTTTTCATTTATTTACTTAAGTCATAAATAACAGTAATCCACAGTACAAAATTTAAGTCAGCAGTATCAATCAGAAATAAACTACGGTTAATAAGACCCCAAATCCTGGTAAACAGCTGGGCCTTAATTCAGTGCTGCCAAGGGGGAGCATCAAAACCAGGTGGATTGCCAAGGAGGGCAATGCATAACGATTTCGTTCCCATCCTCAAATAATATACTGCTTCCAAAAGCAGGATAACAGGAATCACTTGTGTTTAATGTTGTTGGTTTGTTGCACAAAGAGCACCTTAAAAACGGCCCAGTTTCCCTGAGTGATTTATCTTGTCCGAGTCAGAAATTCCAGAAACAGAAGTGTAATCCTCAGGTGACCAGTATTTTACTTATTTGTGTGCATTCAAGCCATTTCTGACTTATGGCGACCCTTAGGTTTTTCTCTGTCATGATGTTTTCTTGGAAAGTTTCTTCAGAGGAAGTCTGTCGTTGCCATCCTCTGAGGCTGAGAGAGTGTGACTTGTCCAGGGTCACCCA